GTCACCCTTATCTGGAGGGTCTTAGGTGTGTCTCTCACTGCATCTTAATCAGTTTCATTTATGTAGTGGAGGGGAGGGAGGGGGAATTCTTTGTGAGTCAGACAGACTGCATCCTGTGCCAGGGTTGCCTGAGAACACACAGCTGAGATGTAACAGCAGTCACTGTTCTGATGCCTATTCCAGTGAAATTGGAGATGCACACAAACACCTCTCAGCATTAGCTAGCCTACCACATGCCTTGGGTCCATGGTGTTGGGGTCTGTGCTGTGGGAGATGGAAGGGAGGGAGAGGGGGATTCTTGCTTGAGCAGCAAGGGGGAGGGGAGGGCAGGGGAAAGCCAGGGAGACCCTGCTGTGTCTGTAGTCTCTGCCTGAGCTCCAGTCAGGGAGCAGAGGGGAGGGGCCATCTCTGCTGTGGAGCAAAGAGCCCCACCCAGCCCAGAGAGCATGCTGGGATGCTGGGGGAGTCTGGTTTATCTTAAACCAGCAAGGGGTCTGGAACAGACATTTCATAAACCAGTTTGACCCAAATCAGTTAAGTCTAATACTACATTCAACCAGGTTGATCTGAAACCGGTTTCAGCCATTTTCAGACTGGTTTATGTGCACTGAACATCTATTCTGTTACAGGTTTAAACCAGTTTCTGATCACTTAAACCAGTTTATGTGTAATGTCTGTCCCTAGCCATGGAGTCCATGCCTCTGCAAACACAGAGATCCAAAAGAGCCCACATGAACACCCACTCTGCCTCCTTTCTTCCTCCCCACACACATCACTTGTCACAAAGCACCCCCTGATGCCATGTAGTAGACTCAGGATTATTAGGTACAAAAAGCCAAAGGCCTCTCAGACTCCCGTAATGTGCTATGGTGTGCCACATGGAGAGACCGGGAGAGGTGAAGGGTCCTAGCAGGGGCTTCTGTTCTTGCTGCAAAATCTAAGAGTAAGTAGCAGACCTCCTGAGTGCATCTTGTTGAAGATAGAGGGGCTGGGGATCTGTCTACTACATACCCTCAAATCAGAAACATAAGAGGCAGTAATAATGAGAGATTTTAATTTCTCTCACATCTATTTGTAAATACAGCAAAATGTGCAAGGATGAATCCTATTTCACCCTTGCTTGCCAAAGCGATGCTTCCATAGCTCAGCAAGTGCTATTCTTGACACTTAAATGGCATTTGGATTTTATTTGCAGCAGGATGATTGCCCACCCTCCAGCACACCCCTGTACTCGCTTCCAAGAGGGAAAGATAGGTTGGGACCAGGAAAAGAGTAGTACTGAGGAAGTGCGACTTGATAAGATGGACATTATGCTGGAAGGGATGGGCCCTGGTTTCTGGCTCCTTGCATTTTATATTGCTTGGATAAAATGGCATATGCAGCAGTGGATTCATTGTCCCATGAAGTC